TCTAAGGCTGACTTGAGAGAACAACTATGTGGCTTTAAAATAGAAAGTAAATGCTGGCCATTTTCTTCAGTGTGGTTGTTTTTGACGATGAGGCTATGGATTTTGCAGTTGCTCCCCTCTGAATATTTTCTAAGCCAGAAGTTCTGTCCTTGTGTTTGACGGCTCTGGTCACTTGTAACTTTCTTCATGAATTTATCCAATGGCATTTTTGATCCTATGTAAACTTTTATAATGCAAAATGCTGCAAAAAAAATATGCAACATTTGGCAACAAGTTCCACGGTTTAAGTTTGGTTGTTTTTGTTTTGACCCTGTCTTCTGATATTATTTGAACTTTCTACCTTGTTTTAATTTAAAGGCTTCCTGAATAATCACCTATAATAATAATTCACCTGCGATTCATAAAGTAGCAAGTTCAGCATATCTCAATAACAGTATTTTCTGCTGATCCATGTGCAGAACTTATAAACATACTCACCGTTTATCTGGGCAATAATAACTTGCACTAGACAAAAAACAAACAGCAGTGACTTCTGACTGATTTTACTGAAGCATAAAAAAGTTGTCAATTCTAAGTAGGTGTAAATTAAAATTCTAGTAATGTAGTTCCCCAGGAATAAAAAAATTAAAAAAAATTAAACTTCTGGTCATTATTTTTTTCCAATAATTGCAGTAAGTATTGTATTGTAGAATTTGTTGAAAGCCGTGAATACTTCACCATGGTCGGTGATATCACCAGTGTGACCTCATAATGCATGTGCAGCTGCTGTTTCTGCTGAGTTCTGAGCAACAGGCGTAACGGGAAGAGGGACATGCATGTAAGGAAAGAAGGTCTGCACTTTCCTTGATGGAGTTAATATAGTGATTTACATCCACAGAGTAGGGGTTGCAACAAAAAAATGGTTCAAGATAAAAAGGACAAGATTGCCGTCAAGACAGACAGTGGCCCATCAAAATCAAAAACTGATTCCCATAGGGTGAAAAGGAAAATTTCAGCTACTATATTGTAAGTACAGTTAGTAGTTCTGGTTAATGTATACCTGTTTTGATAATATTGCTGCTGAAGAATTCTTTGTGTTACATTTAGTAAATGTGCATATATATATGTGCATTTTATAAATAATAAGTAAAATTATTGATTAAAAACAATTCCATGTTTTTATGCCTCAGGATAAAAATTCATTTTCTCTAGATTATTTTACAGAAGTATTTTCATAATTGTTAATAAAAGGTGAACAAGCAGATAGAGGTATTTCACTGAATACGGAGGATTTGTATGTATAATACATACACGCACATGCATAGAAACAGAAATATAATTGAAAGATTTTTAAACTAGGTATAAGTAGATAAATAAAGTATCCAAAAGTAACATCATGAAATAACAGGTGATAATATCTTACTTTTTTGTGAAAATTTGCAGCAATTAAGCATAGCTTTTGTAGTGCAATATATAGCCTAGTTTATTTCCCTTCCTAAATAAAATTACTATCAAATTATAGATCTGTCTAACTACTCAGCTGTTTAGATCTGTATATTAACCCTGTCACTGTAATTACTGAATAATGGCAGTCCTCAGTGAATTTATTCAAAGGCCATTTCTAACAGTGCATATACCATGAGTAAGTGCCCCTAATAGGGATCCTCTTTCTCCAAAAGGTTAGGAAAGGGTGTAAAACAGTCACTAGAAGAATGACTAGCCCTCATTTTTTCTCCTTGAATGTTCTTTCAGTTAGGCTTCTGAGAGAAACTAATTCTTTATGAGAAGTTATGAAGGTTATATGTTGAAGGTCCTGATCCAAGGGATCTGTAACAGCTTATAGTTGCAAAGGATCATGCTTAAAGTGTAATTCTATGTTACAACTGCTTTCCTGGTTATTTGAGTAGGAACCAGAGACACTTAAACTCTCTCTCTCACAGACACGTTATTTGGCTATTGGAAAGGAGTGCTCTTATGAAAAATCCTGTAGTGTGAAGCTCTGAGCAGGAACCTGAACAAAGAATTTGGTTAAATAAACACCTTTCTAAAATTCTGTTTTCCTTGTTCTGTCTTCAAAAAAGAGATTCCTTTAACTATCATATACAGACTGAATAGTCTTCCTTCTTTAGAGATGAACGATTGAAAAAATTAGAGAAAATGCAGTATGTCTTGCTAGGCTTAATTCATCCTCTAGCAGCTCGCTGAAGTTTGGGTTCCTACAGTCTCCTCCCCCCTCATTCTGTAAGAACACTTCATCATTATCCAGTTTCTTACACAGCTTTGGTGCTAACCGATAGTAGCAGTCAGCAGTACACTCAGTCAGCTTCACACGTTCAAACCTCCCTTGAGCTGTTTTCACTTTGGGGGAAACTGCTTTTTTTGTTTAAAAACTGGGATGCAAACCTTGCTCGCTCCTGGCATGCTGTCGTTTACCAGAAGCCCTCTTTCCCCAGTCATTCTGCTCCTCCTAAATGAACTTCCCGTTGACCTCAACAAACTCCTGCTCTAAAATCTCAGTGACTATTGTCCCGCTCACATGCCGTCCTGCATTAAAGCTCAAGAAAAGTGTAGTGACTCTGTATCCTAAGGCATTGTATTCAAATTACTGTGCTTGTACCTGCAAAGCTCAAAACCTGGTCCCAAATGCAGATCTGCATCAGGCTGTAGCAACTGATACAGAATTTCTTCTTCATGCTGCGTGGGTGATGTGGACAGTCCCTGGTGCGTGCTCGGAGACGGCCTAATGCCCATGGTTCTTCTGTCACTGGAATAATTTCATCTCACTTTGAGTAACAGTTTGAACAGTTATAAAACTATGTTTGAGGGTTTATAAGGTTTATTCTTGATTATACAACAATTACATCAAGTGCCAAATATTCTTCAGAAATATAAACATACTGATCTCCCCAAGGATGTTTTATAACAATGTTAGACTAGTAGGGATTTAAGTGAAGTATAGCGTGGTTTTCAATTTGGGGAATAATATCAATTTATGGCCTTTGATCTATGGCTAGTCTCAGCCTTAGTTCAACTTTGCAAGGTATTTGCCAAAATCCTTGCCTCTACACAAATCGTGCTGCTCCAAAGTAAATTACTGACTTTTAGCCTATGTCCCACTGCCAGAAAAATTTTGTAATTCATATCTGTTCTTCTTCTCGAGCACTCTGCATTAAAGAGCCTTAGTATTCTGATAATTTTATGTCCCTAAAAAATAGAAACATCCCTGCTGTTCTTTCAGGAAACAGTGTAGTTGTTAGAGGCGTTTTATGGACTTTTTTTTTTTTTTTTTAAACTCGATTTGACAAATCTCACAAAATATCCTGCCATCCAGATGAGCTGCTGAAACTGAGGGCACAGATATACTTTAATAACTATTCACAAATAATTTGAATGGCAACACTGACATCAGGCTTCCTGCTAGGCATCTTCCTGTAATCTCGCAGATAGTATTAAATTCACATGGGGATTCCTTTGCACTATAAAGTATTCAGGCTTTTTTCATCATCCATGTTTCTACTCACTTCTTCTATCTATATGCCAGAGAAGACCCGGATTAGGCAAGGTTTTGGAAATAGTGAAGAAGAGAAGCAAAGAAAGACAACGGTGTGAAAGAGGTGATGAATAAATATGAGAGATTGCACAAGTAGTGGGAAGAAATCACAAAGTTATGCTAGGAGGAAACAGAAAAGACAGCAGAAATGACAACATGAAAATGGAAGGGGAAGATAATTTTTTCTCTCTCGTACACCCATCTGCAAATGCTGTTAACCCAATTCCCACCAAATATATTTCCCAGTACTCCTGTTCACTCAGGAGAAGAAACCCAAGATTTCCACTTGACAACCAGATTGCCTAATAAGCGAATCACACACGAAAAATACTCTTCATCCATCATTGTTTTGTGTCCAGTTAAAGCAGTTTTGGAACAACCTCACTAGGGAGATAGATCTATGTAATTAAATAATGTCTGCAATTAAGTTGTACCACTTATTAAAATATTTAAAACAGAGGCTTTATGCATGTTTAGTTCATCCTAGCTCTGGGGTTTCTTGCATAATTACATGAAGGAAAGTTTCTTATCTGAATACGTAAGAGATTTGGTTCTAGGAAAACCTCAGTAGATTGAGTGATATGGACAAGTAATAGTTGGAAATAAATTGTATGCCTACATTTGGTAGGCTTTTAGAAATGCAGCGAATATTTAGTTACATGTTTCTTCTAAATAAACTGATCTCCAATGCAATTTAGTTGACGTTTCTTTTTAGTGTTTTTTGTATTTTTCAAAAAGTACACTTAACTTTTCTGTCTTTTTGAACAATTAAGAACTTTGAAAGCTGGAGTAGTAATTCTATCTTGTATAATATCTTTACTGTTATGATTTTATTACCCTTCCTTCAATAGCACTTAGAGAACTCTAAACAGAAAGAATTCATTCTCGTTAATACTATTATTGCAGTAGAATAATTTGCTGCACATGTGTGAGGGGTATTCATTGAAACATACTCATTTGAACATTTTTATATAATTTTTTTATATAATATTGTTTACTTTGTATATAAGTGTCAAAGCATTTTTCATACTGTCTTGGAAGACAGACCAGATGAACCACTGGTGTTCTTAGTGACAGTGGCAACCCCTCTTCCTATAGACAATCATGTCAGTCACTAAGCTTTTGATCTTTCCTCAGGATTTTCTAACTCATTGATTACACTTCAATCCTCTAAAGCTGTGACAACTTTGTGGAGAACTCGCTCATTTGCCTTTGCTTAAATATCTCACGTTTGAGTATTTTTTAGCTTCTGGAATGTGAGAAGGGTGAGAAAGGGCAGATGTCCATCGTGCCTAGCTTTCTGGAAGCCTCATATATCTATCAGAGAAAACATTTAGTGATACGCTACGTCTGTTCTACAGACTATCCCTGCCTTTATTCAAATTAAATTTTGTTAGCTGTCCACACTCAAGTCTGCCATCTTCTCAATTATCTTCTACTTTTTTCTTTTTTTCTTTTTTTTTTTTTGTAGAAGGCTTTTGGACACTGAGGATGAACTCTCTGACATCCAGTCGGATTCAGTCCCACTGGAAGTGCGGGACTGGTTAGCGTCTACATTCACAAGGAAAATGGGAATGGTGAAGAGGAGACCTGAAGAAAAGCCCAAATTCCGAAGCATTGTACATGCTGTACAGGCTGGAATTTTTGTAGAAAGGTGAGAGCTGTGGTTTTTTATATAGCAAGCAGTACATTTAACTGCAGTGTCTGTGCTGAAGATGTCTTTAGCGGTGGGATGAACCTGAGGCAAATCTTTGAGACAGGATTTAGATTTCAATTTCTGCAGTTTCTCTCCACTACATTTGAATGAAATCTTCTAGATTTTGGTAAATTCTGAGGGCAAACTTTATAGTTTGGAAACTTCTACAAGAAAATGTTCCAAATACTGCAGTTACATTAGGGAAAAAAAAAAACACACCAGTAGAAGGGCTTTTCTCATGAAGTTCATAAGAAGACTTAGGTCATGTCTGGGATCAGATCTTAAATAGCTTAGTATTATTTCACAAGCTATGAAAGATGAATTAAAATAAGAGAAAATTTTCCAATAATTTTTAAAGGAATGCTATTACTTAATATTTTATTCATTCTTCTAGGATGTACCGAAGAACTTCTAACATGGTTGGTTTGGCTTACCCAGCAGAAGTGATAGTAACATTTAAGGTGAAATAAATTTAATCATTGTGGAATTTGAATGTATATGTGCTAATATTTAGTGACTTTTAGAATGAAATGAGTGTATTTTTCTTCTGAACACACCCTAGTCATATTTAATAGTACAAAACTAAACATGCACAACGGAGAACTGCAGTGGTTAAAAATTCACAACTAGCATCTGATTCTGTTTATTGTTTCACTGTTTAGTTATGATTCCATGTAGATATTGTTAGAGTAATAGAATAAAACTTGTATAGAATTTTTTTATAAAAATGTGAGAGTCATGGTTTTATCAGCTCCCAGTGGTGTAGTAGTCAGTGTCTCAGAGAGCAGCGTTTGTTTCCTTTTTAGGAAAGAAAAAGGAGAAGTAGTATTGGGATAGAGCTAGCAGAAGAAGCTGAAGCTTATGGAACAAGTACTGTATTTGCTGTAAATTTAAGGCATCGTTATAGTTCACCTGAAGACAATCTCTTATGGTAGTAAAATTCCTCTAGCTAGGGTATGTAATAAAAACCAACATTTCTTGAGAAAGAGGGCCTTTTGCCCTAAAAGCCAAACGCTACTGCATTATTCATAAATCTTTATACAGCTATAGGGTTAATGAGATTGCATGATAGCCTGTTTAAAGGCCGAGTATTCACCTTAGCTCCACCAGGTTCTGTAGAAACTTTGTGCACAGAAAGTTTAGTTTTAAAGATTAAGGCCTTAGATTCTACACGTACAAAGTTGCATAGCTGAAGTTGCAAGTATTTTCTTCCTAACTAGCACAACTATTTTCATCATTTCTATTGAAATAGTCATAAATGTATTACTTGCAGTAAGAGTTTGAGAGACTTTGATGATAAACAAACAAAACAAGCGAAAGAAAACCTAAAAGCTGGAAATCTACTGAAGCACATGGAAACTTTATGTTCTTTTCCTTTTCCCCTCATCTACAGGATGTTGATAAATGGTCTTTTGATGTATTTGCCCTAAATGAAGCGAGTGGAGAGCACAGTCTGAAATTTATGATGTATGAGCTGTTTACCCGATACGACCTTTTGAGCCGTTTCAAGGTCAGAAACTAGCTACAAATAAGAATATGTTTGCAAAAATCAGTGTGTCAAATTGAAAATATTAGAAAGCCATAGTATGTTTGATATGATATTTTATTGTACAAAGAAGTGCAGAATTTCCAAGAACATGGCAAACTCAATATTGTAATATGCCAGCAGTTTGACCAGTCGAAACTTCACTCAGAGCAATGTAAACGTTTCTGCACCCCACAAGACTGAAAGCTGTGTAGATCCATGTTGAGCTGGTTTGGGATGGGAGGTTGCTAGTGAGCAGCTAAATGCTGTGAGCATTAGACAATGGCTTATGCATACAACCTAATTTCTCCGCAGTACTGAATCAGTGTCTCATCTTCAAGGAAGAGCGCTGTTGTGCTTCCTTCCTAATAAGGCAGAAAACTGTAGTTAGTCCCAAGTACTTTTTTCAGAGTCTAGATTATAGTTTGTTGCCCAAAACTTTGCACGGGTTTCAGCGGAACCTTCCTCTCGTAACCAACTTTGGTGATGTATACGGAGAAGGCTGCCTTTTCGGTGCTGCGTGCAGGGTGCCACAATACAGTATGGAGTATTTATAACCCATTTTGAAAGGCTAAGATACAAAATTGGATCCAAGTGCCAAATTTCTCATTGTAATAGCACTGAATGAAGTTTCATTATAGTTCAGAACCTCTCTACTGTATACCTTTATGCCCCATTTGAAGAACCTCAGCCAGCCTCAGTCAGCCTGAGCAATTTGACTTCACCTAGTAACGCGACCTCAGCTTTTCCCATGAACGCTAGGTTGCTTGAAGCCAGAATCGCATCAGGGCTACCATTAACAGCATGGTTAGAAAGTACACCGTGTCACTGCCTCAGTGGGCTTAAGCCTCTTCTCAGTCTCACTGCTTACCTTTCAGGGCCTTTAAATAAAGGAAAAACAGCTTAAGGAAGGTGTAAGTTAATTATATGGAAAAAATGTTGGGACTAGATAGTGCCTTTACTTCATATGTTGTCAGGAGGAAGGGAAGGTGGACTGTCAGGGTAAAGGAAACCTTGGTTCAGGACGGTAAAAGTGACAAAGAAAAATAAATAACCCTGTTTTTAGACTCCTGTCTGTCATACCTTTAGTACTTAAGCAATCCATACGCTCCTGGTACAGTGAGAAAGGAGCCTCTTAAAAACTTTTCAGATCATAGCTCTGCAGTCTCTTTTATTCTAACCACATGCTGTGCATAGTACATATAGAGGGGGTATAGCATCTATAAGAATTAGGGGAAGATTCTCTGATGCAAATTGTGTTTTAGACTTTTATATTTTCAGTTGCTTTGTTGTTGCTTGTTAGCTAAGTTTTATGGGGTATTAATTTGTTTTTTTATTTATTGTGTGATTAACTTTGCAGCTGTTGTTGGGGAAAAAAACCTTTATTCTAATTTTTGCTTCCCCTAGATCCCTGTTCCCAATCTTATTTCATTTGCCGAAGCTCTTGAGGTTGGTTACAGCAAATACAAAAATCCATATCACAATTTGATCCATGCAGCTGATGTTACTCAAACTGTGCATTACATCCTGATTCACACTGGTATCATGGTAAGAAATACTGCAAAGTTCAGTCAACTTCTTTTCTCAGATTCTCTGCTCTTTTGGATAAACGTGTATATGTGTCCGTTTTTATGCTTCCTTGAAAATGATTCAAAGAGCGATTCTGATCAAAATAGCATTCAGGCTCTGAACTTGATGTCATCTAAACAGTTTCTCCAGCTCAAAATTCTCCTAATGCTGAGGAAAAAGGGGGAGAAAAATCCTCCCTAAATCCTTTTTGGTTTTCATTCTCTGGCCTTGGGATTATATATCATACTAAAAGGGATACATATGCAGGAGTGGGCAGGTGAGAGTTTTTCCCTTCCACATCAGTGCCTGGGAGGTGTGATCAGGCAAGGAAACTTAGTATCTTGCGGAGGGCTTGGCCATTGAAAGAGGTACTGATTCAGTGCAGACTTACTCAAACTGCAGCTGCTTTTTCTTCAAGATGGTACCTGCATGCTGCCCTTGCCTATAATAGACAGGAGATTGCAGTTGCTTCGCACTTTTGCAATATCCAGACATTTTTGGAACTGAAGTGAGTCGCTTGGAACACCTTTACCCTGAACACTTTGATTTAATCTCAGCACTGGGAGTCTCCTTACTATTAGTTTGCTTAGACAGAAGTTAATCCTAACTGAGAGAAAATGGACAGTTCTCCCAATGGCCTTTTTGAAAAGTTTAGTCTTCACTATGAATGCACTTTTTCAAAAAAACAAATTGCTTTTTCAGCATTTTTCATCTGATTTGTATTTGTGGAGCCTTGAAACAATTTCATAGCACTTTTGGAAAGGAACATTTTAGAAATCAGTGTTTGAAAGAAGCCCTAGTGATTCTGCAGCTTGCAAAGTATTTCTGTCCCAAGTGTCATTTGTAATTTGAGATCTTATCAATATAGTGCACAAATATTCTATTTATCTTTTGGGGTTTTTTTTCCTGTCACGTAGTTAACTTCAGCCGACTGAGTAACAATCTGAAGTTGGGTTCTCAAGATAATTGTTGGAGATTTTGTCTGTTGTAATGCCTCCTTTAACTCTGCTGCATCTTTTAACAAATACTTGGAATGAGTCACTTACCTTTGACGCAATTCTTTATCAAATGCCTGTGAGAGTTTTGCAGATTGACATGTGATTTGAAGTTTTTGTGCTTTCATTGTATCTTAAGGAGCTGATGCTTACTCCCAAACCTTGTAAAGAATTGCTGGCTGGCTTTTTCACTTCTGAAGGATGCACTGAAGCAAATGTTTCAAAAAGCTAGATTTTAGAAAATCCTTTTCACAATTTCTGTTACTGAAGTCATACATTTTTTATCTTTAACAGGCACTGAGAAAACAGCCATATTTCAGCATTTGCCAGCAAGTTTAGCTGGTCAGAGCTTATGCTTCTGTGTAAGAGAAGCAAAGACTTCAGTGAAGAATAACTCACATATTCATATTCATATCCATAGCTCATTTAAAGAGATAAAATGATCATTATTATTTTTCAGAAGGTATTGGTTGTCCAGCTGAAGAAAAAGAAGACCCAGCCCCCTCAGATCAATGTGTGTTAGAAAGCTGGATGTAACATATGGCAGACAATCTATTAACCCCACTAGCATCATGTGATTAAACCGCAGATGATGCAAATGAAATATCTCACGCTTGCATTTATGAAGTGTTAACTTTGTAAAGATTCAAGAATCTAAGTCCCAGGGAACACATCTTGTTAAGAGCTTTGAGTCATCGATCTCCTTCCCACCATCCCCTTTCCTCCCCCACGTACCTGTATTGCTCAAATTAAGGGAAAAATTGTCTTCCTTGTCAATAAGTGTATTGTGAGACTCTATTTCTTACTCATTTTTTGCTCCAGCATTGTTCAAAAAAGTAGTTCCAACCAGAGCTCATGAAAAGTTGAAATACAATCTTTTTACTTAGAAACAATTTACAGTACTCCAAAACACTTCTGAATAGAAGAGATCTTCTCCAATAGGAGTTACATCTGCACAGCATAATATTTTCCACCTAGAAATTAAGTTCCCTCCATTTGGAATGTATCAGATCTCCAAATACCAGAGGCTGCTTTTCCCCCTCCCTTTGAACAAACACCTTCTAACTCTTTTTCTAAGAGCAGTCTGGTGCTTCTTTAGAAATCCTTTAGCTCAAGTTGTTCTCTGATTCAGTGATTTGAATACTGAACTGAATTTTGAGTGTACAGCTACCATATCTACAATACTTGCCCTCATACCATGCCATATGAAGATTATCTGTAGCCCCTAGATCTCATTTGCAGGAAACTCTCTTCTAATTATGGATGGATTCTCTGGCAACTCTTTTGGTTGCTAAAAAAGCTGATTTTTGAAAAGGCAGCTTAAAGAAAATGTTTATGTTTAGTTTTAGTTACTAATAATTTCTGGGTTTCTATTCCACTGGTATGTTGAAAACATTGTGAAAGTCAGTACTGGTTCATGGCCTGGTTTCTTATGACATACAATACTATGAAGGTCATCGTTTCTATTTTTGGAACTGCTTACAGTACTTTCTCATTCCTCAGTTGTGCCTTTTTTAAATCTACACAGCTTCACCAACCAGCCAGTACTTTTTGTTCCTCAGCAGTCTTGTTTTGTCTCTTAATGACCTATTTTATTGTTCTCACACTACTTATGAACCTTGGCTGGTTCCTATCTTCTTTGAAAAGATTGTACTGCTTATGGCAGCTTATACATCTTATATGACATGACCCACATAGCATCCATTTACATGTATGTGGCTATATGAGTGCATAAGGATGAAAATCATTTTTGGATACCTTAGTGAAGAAAATTACTTTTACACTTAAAAAATCTGAAATACATGTGGAAATACTTGATTGGCATTTGACTAAATCAGTCCTATGACTGTGGGGGGTTAATTATTATATGATTTTTCTGCCCCCATTCTTAGATGAAGTAATTTTTCTCCTAACAGTTGATGTATCATTCAAGAAAACGGAAGAGTAAAACAACAAAGGTGATTTTATAAAAAGAGCAACAGAACTGCATCAGTTAGGAAGAGGTATAAAAGTGCATAAAACTCTAGGTGATTATTATTTTTTATAGGATTATCTGTACTATTTTTTACTCTGTGTAACTGTGTACTACCTTTATGCATTGTATTTTTGCCTTTCTCGTTAGCTGAATGCCATGTGATACCCACAGTGCAAAGTATGGTATAATTGAGTACAGAAAAGCCTCCCATTGGCCTGATTTCAATGCTATAGTACTGGTAAAATACAGTTAATACTGATACTCTACCTAATAAAGTATTGTAAACTGAATATATTGCTCACTAAAAGACAAATTAAAAGCGTAAAACTTTGTGTCAAGTCTCTAGATGAATTTACCCTAATTTGTCAAGTGTCCTTTATTGGCTAGTAGATTATATACTTCCTACTCAAAATTGCTCTGAAGTATATCACGCAATTTTCTTAATAACTTCTTATATTTTCGGACAGTCGATATTTACTTTACTAGTTAATCGTAAGGGCTTTAACTTTGTCTTAGGGAAATCATAATAGGTACAAGCATTTATTTTACTGTATAATATTTAAATTTTATTGATATATTTGGTCACCCAGAGAAGGAAAAGAATAAGGTTTATTTAAGTCAAAGGTAATGCAAAATATTTTCAGTACTGTAGTCTTTAATCTAATTGGCTCTTATAGAAAATGTGACTAAGATTTATTTTTCATTTACTAGCACTGGCTCACAGAACTGGAAATTCTGGCAATGATCTTTGCAGCTGCCGTCCATGATTATGAACATACTGGGACCACAAATAATTTTCATATTCAGACAAGGTAAGCCAAGTGGTCCCGAGAAAGTTTGCCATACATTTTTCCGAAATGTTTCATTCCTCTTACTAATGCTGACAGAAAACAGCTAGGTAATTCTTGATTTCATGAATTGATTCCTTGACCTGTCTAAAGTCAATGGGATCTCTGTAAAGTTGGAAAAGTAAGGAAAAAATTCCATAGTATTTGAAGTGAAATCTTTTTATTTAGGAGCTGATATCTCAGAACCCTGCTGGAAAAGAATGCCCATCTGCGCAATATTTTGAAGTACTTTACCTGTCTTTTGCATCTTTATTTACTGTCTTAAATTCTGATGATTTTGACTCAAACTTTATTTCATGGTGTCCCCAGAAAAATAACACTTCACTTTCTGCAATGTGTCTACACTCAGTTAAGGTGCTACATTTTGTTTCAGTATATTAAACCGCAGGGTCCTAGCACATAGGCAGAGACCTTCAAGTATATTTTTAAAATCCTTGCCAAGAATCCTCTCCTGGTATGTTTTTGCAAACATCCCCAGTGGTTGTGAGATAACCCTCTAGAGAGAAACCCAGTTTGAAAGTCAAGCTAACTGTACTGTCATTCAGGCACAGCCCGTCCTCTTAGCCTCTTAGTCCAATACAGTAACATGTATGTCTCCATTAAAGTATTTCCAGCTCATCAGAGGAAAATCACTGACCAATCCTGTAGCGGGTGATAGGTTGTGCACCTGATACTTAACCCGCTGCAGTGCATGTTGTTCTCTCCCACTTGGCTACGCTTTGCTCTTAGTATTCTCAGCTGAAAGTGCAGCTTTACCTGCTCTTTTTCAGCAATTTTCAGCAAAGCATTGGCATGTTCTAACGAAACAGCTGTAAGCAAGGGTGTCAGTGGTTATGGATTGCAAGAAATACTACTTGGCCTAAGAATGAGTAGAAGCATCCTCCCACTTACCTAGACAGATAAAGTGCCCAAGACCTGTTTTTAAATTAAACCCATGGCGTATTTGTGCATTGGGATAGGCCCTTCAATAATGAACAAATTCTAGATCCACAGCTGAAATAAAGGCATAATTCTCTTCTTCAGCATAGTCTGGATAAAAATAAACTTCAGTTTGTTGTTCCAAGTTTATGTTACTTTTCTATTTTTGTCCTTAATATTTTGCTCTGAAGTATTGCAAAAGTGGAAAATGAATTAAGCTGTTAAACTTTGACTTTTACATGTACATACTTGCAAACAGGTATTTGTTTTGTGATGCAGCTCGTTCTTCCCTCCTAGTGGAATTTGACCCTAGCATGAGATCCCTGTGCCATGCTTCCAAGCCTCTCTTGCCTCAGAAAAGCCAACGAAACAGCCCTCATAGTCATGTCAAATCTCAGCAGTGATTAAAACCAGCCGTGTGGGTCAAAGTGTGCCTAAGTGATTGGCAGATCACAGATTTTCCCATGATGTTACTAAGATCATTGACATAAACATACTCATTATTTCAATAGGATATACTTTATTCCCTTAAGTAAACTTTCCAATCCAGTTTTAATTTTTTAAGTTCCTTGGCACCATACTCCGTGGGTGAGTGATTACAGTGCATATTTACTATTGCTCACCAGACCAAAGGTTTTGATTTTACCTCATGAACAGCATAGTAAACTGAGCTGCTAAAGCATCACGGCTGTCTTTGGCACAGACTTGTGCATCACCTCCAGTCCAAACTGAAATACTCCGGAGCAGTTTTAGCAGAGCAGAGGACTAGCAGGGAGGGTAAACCTGAGGCTGCTTACCAAGCCAGGTCACGGCGAGAAACAAATCCCCTTAGACGTCTTGAAGTTTGAGGCCGAGTGTGATAAACCCATACTGCATCAAATTGTGTGCAAAACCTGTATGTAACTCCAGGAATTGTAGGCTGTTCTCTGTCTAATTATGAGTGAAAGGATACTGTCAAGGGTACAGTCATGACTTAACATAAATTTACCATTACCAGCAAGCTGGTATGAACTTTCTGGTAAGGTTCTGCCTTTAGAAAGCAATTGAATGCAATCAAAATTTCAACTTTACATCTCTTCCGTTCCTTTGTTATGAGGCTCAAGGTTTGGCTCGTTTTCTGACAAAATATGGCATCCATTTGAAACGTATGAAATATAAAGCCTTCTAGCATTTTAATATGTACAGCTCTTTCTCTGATTATGAGCCAAAGCGGATCTCAGAATAGAGGCAGAAGCTTCTTTATAACCTATGCTATCTGGGGCGCTCCCTCTGTTGGTGAATGTGTTGCATTTTAAGTGGTTGTATTTCCAAAGAATACTTTTGAGTAACCTAATTTTAACATTTCTGTTGTTCTGCAGTCCTATCTACTATCAAGAAGCTCAAGGCTCTCCTCATAAAATTTTCTCACAGTTATATTACAAAAATAGAAAGTAACACATTTAGAAATAGGACTTTTTTCCGAAAAATACATACAGTGGCAATGATGATAAATTTTCGTGGTTTTAGGGTGGAAACTTTATCAGTCTTCAGTGCAGTAGGAACAAATAAACATACTTGGATATAGAATCAAGAATACCCATTCCTGATTTCTCCAGTGCCATTGTGAATATTCTATTGCAAATTGTGCTATTTTTTAAACCTAGGTCAGATGTTGCAATATTGTACAACGATCGTTCTGTTCTTGAAAATCATCATGTGAGTGCTGCTTATAGGCTCATGCAAGAGGAAGAGATGAACATCCTGGCAAATTTAAACAAAGATGACTGGAGGTAAGACCTACTGTGACATTCAAGCACAGTTCCAGTACGTAAACATAATTTAAAAACTCCTGTCCTGCAGAGTCTATTTTAAGAGTTCAAATTATAAGGAGAAACTTTTGCACCAGAAGGAGTTATGGATATTCAGAGCTTCAGGAAAGCAGCCGTAGTGTAAAGAAGTGCTTTATGGGAAACTCCATACAGTTTTGTAAGTGAGGTGGTGCATTGATGAGCCGCAATGTTGGACTGTGCGGCCGGTGTCTCAGGTGAGATAGCTCTTTGGTGAAACCTCTTAAGTTAGGTTATCTTTTTCTAAGAGTGGGTTAAAACCTCAGTGCAAAGTCTCACTGTGCTGCCAGCTTGGCCGCTACTGCCTCTGGGATTTCTGCTGTGTGACATAGTGCAGCACAGCTGCATCTTGGCTAAGTATTGAAAAGTGAATTACCAAGTAAAGGCTCAGCTACACTAGAGAAATATCCTGTTTTCCTTCTTATTTTTTAATGTAATTCCTAAAGAAAATTTGACCATCCAAAAGAATCAGGATTATAACTGACATGTCACAAATACCAAGACCTATAAGAAGAAAGTGAATAAGCGTTAGTGCTGTGACTTTCTCCATTATTAAGAAAGGTATGTTATTATCTTTGTATAACACAAATCACTGTATATATAGCACTTAAATTACAAGACTTCTGTGTGTTCCTGTAAACATAGCTATCATTTAGAGACCCCCTCCTAAAGTAACTTTTAAACAGCTGGACTGTGAAGCCAGATAAAGAAATTCTGCTTCTAGGAAAATCTATTACTGTCAGTGATGCCACTGCAAATAAACAAAGCTTTATTTGTGTTTTCACAAAACTATACATTTATGAAGGAGTATGTGAATATGAGACCAAATTTTGGCCTGGTGTATTTTTAAAGGTGAAGGACTTATTTATGTGGTAGACTTGCTTTATTTTACTGATTTACATGATCAGATAATGTCTAAATAACTGTCTCACTGAATGCACGACTGCTGACCCTTTTGGCTTTCCTTTCGTTATTTTTCTGTAGTTGCTTCAATATACTTAATATTAAAGTACTTTTTTATTTAATATAATATGAGAGAGGGATCATACACTTTCCCCATCTTCTCAGGGGATAATCATTTGCATTTAGTGATCATAAAATTCTTATTATAAATTTAGTTCTGGAGAAAAATCTCTGGAACTAGATTGTAAACTTGAGCAAGAGTTCTCTTACGTAGTCAGATTTTCACTGCCAGCATGAGTCACTGCTGTTCTGATGGGAATTCCTTTGGGGCTGATAGAGTAGTTTGGTCTCTGCGACCTTTTTCCTAGCCACCGAGTATGAAGAAAGTGTTTGTGCCACTGGATAGCCATCAGGGACTGGTATTTTTTTTGTCTTTGAAAACCTCCTTTGGACAGAGGTAAAAATTTTCAGATCTTCAGTCTTGTTACGTTGAGTATATTTATTGTAGTGTTGTAGTTTCATACACTGTCCTACCAGGGCATATTTCCATACAGAACGGGGTAGATCTTCCGATACAATTGAATTTCAGCTGAGGATTGAATAACGATTTGAAAACACTTATGTGCTTGCACAGTCTTGCATCCTTAGTCACTAGAGACCACCATCGATCAGTGTCGTTTGGGAACTCCCTCCAGCTGAGAGAAACGTGGCTGCCAGCTAGCACAGCGCACCCCAGTCGTTCCCTTTTGCTTTGTCACTGAAGGGATAGAGTTGTAAAACAGAAACTCCTACGAAAGAAAAGATTTCCCAATGGAAAGAGGAGCCTGCGGTTTGTGGATATGTGATGTTTCGGGCACATTCTGCTGTAGTGGACTGCAGCAGAATAGAGAGAGGCATGTTATAGACCATTGGCATATTTCTGGATTAGTCTCTTCTCTGCACAGGCAACTTGGTCTGCCTACAGTTTGGCAGTTGTGCTCTCACTTCATCTGGCGCATTTTTTTCCTCTTTGGCTTTTGGACTGACCGTGAACTAACACGTTCTTTCAGGAGTTGTTCAGTCCAGGTGTGTTTGTACTTGCTTTTCAGTCTCCTCTCACCGTAATCCAACCTGGGTTTCCTGGGGGAATTTATTTTAGTTTTATGCATTTTGTCTGGATGAAGTGGTTGCACAGGTCCCATCCACTAGTATGTCCTTGCAGCCTATTTAAAGTCAGTGGGATTTGGGAACCAGAGAAAGTAGAATTTCTGGTTCCTCTTTGTGGGGCTATACAATACAATTTAGAAGAGACACATGAAACCTGATTAATAAGCTCAAGCAACTAAGCTAGGACGCTCAGTTCTGTTTTTCGTCATTTAGCGAGACGCTTACAGTATGGGCTTTCAAACAAACCCATAACTTCCAAAGTGCCACTCTGAGAATCTGCACAACCTGTGGAACTGTGGTATGTTCCCGAACTTAGAGGGTCAGCCTTGGAAATCATGGTCCTTTGGTATTCGTTTCTAATATTCAAGAATAATCCTCTTACCCTGTCGTCAGATGCACTTGTTCATCAGTGCAATGGCAAATATATTAGCCACTTGGAAGAAGCTTTTCCATTTTCTAAGTATTACTCAAGTGAACTTTTTGGATCTTTATTGAAATTCATGCTATTAGACTAACAGTTTCGAAGTTTGCACTGAAGCAAATTGAAATGATAATTTGTTCAACTTTTTAATGTACTTCCTGGCACTGATTAATTTCTTAACTACTGTCAGATCTGTTTTCTTGAATTGCAATGATTTTATTTTTTTAAATTTATTGCCCTGCCTGTTTCAACTGTGGTTCTGCTAATTATTTCAGCAGCATAAAGCAAAATGACTGAGAATGCTTTATAGCATTACATTTTCCTTTCTACAGGTTAATGTTAAGAACATAAATGTGCTAATAAACTGTCCGGTTCAGTTAAGTGTAAAACATAGGATTTGGGCCTAAACAGGGAAACACTGCCAGCGTTCTGTTGAGGACGTCCTTTGTGGGTAACACGTGTGATCTTCACAGTCATTTCTCACTCTTAATTCTGAAAAAAATATTCCAGCTTTCCACATTCACCTTTTTTTCTCTCTCTCAGCTTCCCAAATAATGAAAGAAGAATCCCCTTTTCACCTCCTTTCCCCTTTGAATCACCAGGCCTCTGCTGTTTTAGCACCCCTATGTGCTATGCCAACAATTACAGCTGGACAGGCAGAATTAAGATCCCCAACCATTCCACTCGTGCGGCATACACTGATATATGGCCAGATTATATAAAATGAGTAACAAAACAGTATGCGCTATATCTAGCATAAGCAGCTTCTCCTTTCACGACAGGATTTAACAGTGCAGAGCCATTGGTTTTCATGCAGTGTGTAGCTGTTCTTTATTTTTATTTTTAATGGGTTTAGCTATGTTTGAAAAGTACAGTTTCAAAGCAATATGGAGGAGGAACAGTTGGGATGCAAATTAATTAGTATCTTATTAGTGAGGTCAGATAAGGTAAGGCATTTTCTAAGTACAAGTTGCTATGGCTGCATATTATTATTTGAGTAGAAGTGAGAGGGCTGAGTCCTTATCCAGTTACATCAAAGCAAATGGGGAATAAAGTCAATGAGGGATATCAGCTTAAATATGCAATTAATTTGGCTCAAAAGCAGTCTTGATAGTTTTTATAATAAACTACTCTAACAGCCCTAAAGAAAATTGCAACTTACTTCTTTAAAACATACGTATTTGAAAAAGTGCTTTGTTAAGTAAATCAACGATAGGAATAAAATATGAAACATCAGTGAGAAATCCTAAAGCAAGTTTCTACTGTTGTATTTGATACTTTGACCAACTGTAAATTAAGCATTATCAGTTCTTTGCCACATTGTACCAGGTCTCGGTATTCTTAAGATTGGGGGCATACTCCTTAAGGTATAGGCTACATAAACAAAGATTTAATGTAACTGATGCCCCCCACCCCACCCCATACCTATAAGCAACCCTCTTGTGCATGTAAATCCCTCTGGGCCATCTAAAAAGCATGCTAATAAAGAGCCCGTAACCTCCTACATAGTTTATTACATACAGTCCTTCTACCTCAAGGAAGGTATATGTTCCAAAGCAGTAATTACTGACAAAACTACGCACTTTCATATACCATGATAATTAATGAACTTTCTCACATGATTGATGTCTTACTATTTTCATAATCGTTTAATAGAAAGCTGATGGACAAGCATCATCTCCGACCATAATAGCAAGATACAGATAAATTGTGAATCCTGAACTTGTTCTGATTCATGTAATAGGCATTAAGGAGTTCTCGAGGTGAAGGGAGTTTGGCATAATGTTCACAATATTGGCATAATGTTCACAGCATTTCCACTGTAACACTTCTTGCTCTTCTAAGTGTCTCCACCGCCTTCTTACTAGGTTTAGTGTTGTGCCTGCTCTGCACTAATATGTCAACAGCAATATAAGACACTAATATGTCCTCTTCTGTGGTGGTGGGGCTGGAGACCAACTGGTTTTTTGATTACTCTCATGCTGAAAAAAAAAAAAGGAGAGAATTATAATGGGTGACAGAACTGCATGCAATTTTCTTTTGTACACTAGAAAAGAAGAATTACAAAACAGCATGGCTCTGAAATAACAATTGGAGTGTGAATTTTTTGCTTCCACAGAATCCCTTTAGGATACAACGTTCAAGTTGTTAATAATTCATTCAAAAGCTTTTTAAAATGTAATAGAAAACGTGGGTTGTTATAAATTAACAAGTGCTGCTTAAACAAATGTTCCATATATAGAATAAATTAATTGTAATCAGTCATTTTGCTTTTAATTATTCTTAGGGAGTTGCGTAGCTTGGTCATTGAGATGGTTTTGTCTACAGATATGTCGGGTCATTTTCAGCAAATTAAAACGATGCGACATACTCTACAGCAGACAGAGGGGTAGGTTATTTTCCATTCTGCTCTTTATCTGTAGTCTTTAAATGAGCTCATGTCCAAGAAAAGACATTAACTAGTTGCTTTTGTTCTGAGATAATTGGAGCATGTCCTTGATTTGACAGGATAGACAAAGCCAAAGCCATGTCTTTGATTCTACATGCAGCAGATATAAGTCATCCAGCAAAATCCTGGAAACTGCACTACCGGTGGACCATGGCCCTGATGGAAGAATTTTTTCGACAGGTGCCGTTTTAAAAATCTTTCAGTAAATCTAGTTGAAGAAACAAAGGTTACGCAATTAAAGCTTTCTATAATTTTACCAGCAAGGATGCTGTTGGTTGTGATTGACTGACATAGTATAAGAGTAAGAGTATTCCTTACTCTTAATACCGCTGACATTAATTCCAATTTTATGTGAGTGAATAAGATGAAAATGTTATTGCTCCATATCTATTTCAGGTGATACCAGGATTCTAAGTGTCGTAGGCTTTTTTTTCTTTCAATAATATTATAGCTTGTCAAGCTATTTTCATTCTGTAGACAGAGATTTATATATGCTTTGAGTTGAAAAGAAACGCAGATAGGGTAGGATGAGGGACTTGAAACTCGGAAGAATTTGTGTTTAGCAAAGGCAAAAATGTTATCTTCATCTCATATTTCAGAACACCCCCCCCATTTCTTTTCCTTGACGTTCTTGTCGTGCACATGACACATAGCCATGAAGGTTTTGCTTTCATAAACGCCAATCCAAAGCCCCCAGAGGTAACTGGGAGTCATCCTGCTAGCAGTGCCATATATTCTGAACCAAAAATGAAGACACATCTTGGTGAAAGTCTTTTTATGGCTGCAAGATACTGAGCTCAAAGAGCAAGCCCGTGGCCAGCAAGCGTTGGTGGGACTGCTGCCGTTCGCTGGCTCACCTCAGCAGGTGCCATCCCGGGAACAAATTCTCCCTTTAGCAAGGAGCAGTGAGCGTGTAGCAGTCATATCAAGCAGGAGGAGCCACGATGATTATTCTACTTCTCCCATCACTCTAAACTGCTGCTGAACATACTGAGCACTTGTAAAAACAAACCATTTTTTCTCAGCATAGTAATAGTCTTTGACAAAGCATTTCTTTGTTACGAGGACTGATTAAAATACAAAGGTCAAGTGGTAAAATGAAAACCAGGACACTTTAAGTGTCCCGAAGTAAATAGCTGAGCTTCCAAAGCATCAGCATATATGTAAAAATGACCATGTCTTGATAAAATCAGAAACTACTGTTAATGAGCAAATAATTTCTTTGAGTTAATATTATTTCTGTTGTCTAGGAATTAGGAATTACTTGATATGAGAGAAAAATTGTGTTATGTTTTTTATGGTTCTTTTAGCTCTCTGATGCAGGAAAGAAAATTGATAATATAGCAATACACATACAAAAGACTCCATATTAAAATAGAAAAGTGGGAAATTTAGAATTGTGAACAATTTTTAAAACCCTGACTTGATTTCTCCTGGCTGTCAGGTTATTCTTTCAGTAAAAAGAAAAAAAAAAGCAATAGCAAAAATTAAGGGAGACATTGAATTTAATATTTCTATACAATTTAGAAATGTTGTATACCAAGAATTAATAATCTTTCTGTTTTTCTTTTTAAAGCAGGTACTATTTTTAGGGGGCATAGTATACTGCCTTTGTCAATGGTAGTAGTACAAGATCTTAAGAAGTGCCAGGCTATGTAGATTTTAAAGCAGTCTGCATGCCGCCTGTACCATGGTTTAGGAACTTTTCTTTCAGACACTTCATAGGGAGTGATGCACACTGAAATTAGCTTGCATTTAAGAAAATAATTTTTGGTGATCTCAGCATAAACTATAATCTCCAGAAAATTTGAGAATCAACCTCCTTAGCTTACCAAGCATTGAAATATTTCCAATTAAATAAATTTTTAAAAGTTACAAAAAATAATGAAAAAAAATCTCAGTGCTTTCCTAAATCAGGAACATGGCACTTAACTGTAACTGCACAGAGACCATACATGTTTTTAAAATATCAGTTACTGAGATTAAATTGATAACTACAAACCAGTTTAGATATTACACAGTTCCTGCAATTATACTCAGCTTTTAAAAATGCTTAATACAGAAAATTGAACAGGGTATGTCTAGCTCATCTTGACTATCATTATTTTTGCTATGCTTTGACATTTTCAAACCAGATGAGTTACACTGGAAAAGGGCTCAGAGTAATAGAAGAGTCAGTAGGTTAATCCATTAGGTTGTTAGACCCATCTGCCCTGGAAGTTTCTTGCCCTGTTCCTAGAGGTTCTGAATAAGGAGCATTAAGACATCCTTGACTCTAGCATTTGCGCTGGGGAGACTGGGTGGAGATCCGGTGCCTTAATCTGAATAATGAGCAGACTTAAGTTTTGTGGAAATATTGAGTAGAGTCATGAGTTTGTGTCTGTTCCTGTAAATGGAAATGATGAGGATTTTGAACTTGAGAGGAGAAAGGAGGATCTGATTACCCCAGATATATATTACTTGAAAAGGTCAGAAGTGACCAACTGTGAAAACATTTTAGACAGAGAGACAGACTAGACAGAGCCCATGGGACAGTGAGGCAATGTGTGCAGTCAAGTGGCTGTAGCATTAGCAATAAACAGTACTACACTGCCTTGGTCTTTGAGTATGTAGGATCAGCTAATGTTTTAGTTATTCCTTTATTATTACATTATAAAAAGTAACTAGATCACAAATAAACTGCTCAAAGGCTTGAGCTGGCATTTAATAATGCAATCGAGCCACAAAATATGTATTTCTGTTGCTCAGTGACATAAAATTTGGAAGTCTTTCAGGCTGCAGAGGGATGTGCAAAGAATTGAATGCCTCTTTACATGTACTGCTAAGATGAGCAGGATGTGGGGAGTAGTTCCAACGTATTTAAAGTGCGGTGGAGTAATCATAAATATATAAATGAACGGACTAGTGCATACTGTGTATCTTCTGCTTCCTAGATGCACTGGCTTGGTTGTGCAGCCTATGATCTGCTGATCTGAGCGTGTGTAGTGGATATCTCTGGGATTTCCAGGTCTAGGTCAGCCAAGATGGAGTGGTCCAAACTTATACAAAACCCATTAAGTCCACCTCTTTTTTCTTTTATTTTTAATAATAGTTCCCCTATTTCTACAGCATTACAGGAAAAAGCAGCAGAGCTTGGAACTGCCAGTGAGAAAACAGTTTTTAACATTCAGCTTTCAAAGTAGCGGGCACTAGCAAAAAATGAACATTCACCTAGGCAAAAAAACTTGTTAACTACAGCTAATGATTAAAATATGCATCAGTGTTAACTTCAGGGAAAAAGCCAAACGACACTATAAGTTAAAACAACAACCCCAGAAAATGTGTTACAATGCCAAGGAAAATCTGAGCTACTTGTTTAAAATAGAAATACACCCACCCATCTCAAAAACTTAAAAATAAAAACATACACTGTTCAAGTCACTCAAAGAAGTATCACAGCTCCTATAACATTATGCTCTCAATCTGAGTGGGTTCAGTAGCACAGAAAGAAAATTTGTCCAGTGAGTTGGTCATCTGGGAAGAGAATTGTTTTTTTACTATGTTGAGCTTTATCTTGATTTTAAATCTCACGAGATTCTAATGACCAATTTAAATATCAACACTGTGCTCATTATTATAATTTATGATAGGCCCAGTTTTATATGACATTTAAATATTTTTTTATTCTGTCTTCAGCAGCAGAGCGATATTCCTGCTAGTGAGAGTGAGTTAAAGTCAGATCATGCCGTTTTACCTATGCAAATGCTCTGAAGAGATTTTTTTACATGTTGCATAAAACAAAGTAATGGAAGGAAACATTTAACCTTTGGAATATTATTACAAACATGTCTTAAGTGTCAATCTCCTAACATGGAAGATTTGCAGCTCTAAACTGTAAATGTTGAAGGACTCCTTATAAAATATGTCATTTATTTTTCTTCCCTGACAAATGTTAAATCTCATTAGCAGATGCCTTGCTTTTGAGGAGCACTTGTTTTCAACAAGTTCTTTTATCTAAAAATTGTTAAATGTAAGTTAGACTATTGACCTTTACTTTTCCTGAGAATTTAAAGACAAATAATGAGTTTTAGTTATCTGCAACTTGTTTTTATTTATGAAAATAAGTGAATGAAGTCATTTGCTGACTAATTACTAACAATGTTCAAATTCATTTGTCTATCTGATTATTCAATATGTGCTTATAGTGTTAAACATTTGTTTTCAGGGAGACAAAGAGGCTGCTTTAGGACTTCCGTTTTCCCCACTCTGTGACCGCAAGTCTACTTTGGTTGCTCAGTCCCAAATAGGTAATGACAAGAACTGTTTTTCTTCTTCTTGTATGTGTAGGAGCATAAAAAAATTGCGTGGGCCTTTCTTAGACCCATTTTACCTTTTAGATGTTCCAAATTGCATCATATACAATCTATTTCTTTGCACCTGTTTGTTCATTGAACTCATACGCCCTTATAGCGGCAACTCACTGGTTTCAAAGAATATTAAGTTATTTTGGCATGTATGATACCAAGGAGGGGTAGGAGAGGGTTTGCCAAAGTACTGGGCATGAGCCCCGTCTTTTACTGTACACACTTCAGAGTTTGGTAGATCATGTCCTCAGACAGGCTGACTCTTGCTCAAGAGCCCAAAGGCATGTCTCTACTACCATCCAAAAGTCTGATGCCATTTTGTTGCTACATCTCAACAGTGGCCAGACTTCAGCTTCATGTTTTCAGAAATGCAGGTCTTGGCTCCATCTACCCCAGTTTGAGCTATTAAATCAGCTATAATAAGGAAATAAAAATGGGTAAAGTTCTTTGGGGATGGTTACAAGGACGTACCCTAGAAGCATACGGAGTAAAACAGCATGTCCTACTAACAGCTGTACGTTTTGTGCGAGTGAGCGCAATACTCCTGGAGACCTTCTACTGGTGCCAGTGTTTTAGCTTTTAATTGAAGCATGTCATCCAGTCTGATCTTGTATGCTGTCACTCAAAATGTTCTTTATTCCATTCCACTGGGACACGAAACACAACGTGCTTGAGGGTTATACCTACTGCAGGTGGGAAAAATTCTGGATTCTAGACTGAAGTACGGTTGCTCACCTTTGTGCTGTGTGGCATCGTTAGAAGTATGAAGACACCTGGAAATCCATTGCTAGCTCATTTTTTATCTATTATTTTATTTCTGTGAAATGCTCAGCAGAGAATAATGCTTCATTCTTTCACTATGTCATTCCTCACCTTGACAAGCGTTTTAAAATGTAAAAGACATTGTTCAGAGCTGACATCTCAGCACTGTGGGATGAATGCTGTCTCCTAGGGATATTACTTGTTCCTTCACTGATTTGACAGAACACTCCTACACACTGTGAAATAACACTTTACCTCCACAGAATAATAAACAGCAATTTGAAATATTAACTCCTTGGCAAGGAGCTCCAAATGGTAACAGAGGCAGTAGGACTTCTAGCCCCTGGTTCTACTGTAGCTTCCCTTCTATTCAATAACTAATATTCAATAATTAATACTCATTTCAAACTCGAGGTGCGCTCTACACTGCACAAAACTTGCAGAGAATAGGAATGAAAATCTATAATTAGCATTTAGTTATGTGCATATGGCTTCAGGTGGGTTTTTTGTTTGCTTTTCTCCTCAAGATTGTACTATAGTAACTAGTATATTGAATCAAGACTGCAGTGAGAAAAATCAGCCTGATATCAAACATTAGGTTTTAGATCTGAGAGCTGGAAAAATGTAAAATCTGATTTTTTTTTTTTCCTCTCATTTTGCTCTTCAGGTTTCATTGATTTCATAGTAGAACCGACATTTTCTCTTCTTACGGATTCAATGGAGAAAATTGTTATTCCTCTTATAGGGGAAGCTTCAAAATCTGAAAGTCCTGCATTTGGGACACCCAGGTATGAATAACACTGCTTATTTTTTAAGCTAACTAAACTAACTAATGTCGTTCTCAGCAGTATCACGATTACTGTTGAAAGTTGGAAAAATAGCATGACTAGCTATACAGTATTGCCACCTAGTGGTGCCATCTTGTACTTGCAGTATACTATTCCTGCATTGACCACGGACAGTTGTGTACATCAAATGGCAAAAATGCAATACAGGGAACAGAATACACACTTCTAAAATGTAAAAATGATTTTATGCAGAATATATATAATAATAATACATCCTTTTTTCTTTGACTCCATCCAGAAGAATCCCAGCTAATATCTGTGTAAGATTGTTGAAGTTCCTAGTTTTCTTACCGCTGAGTCTGTTCCCATATTGTTTTAATCAATAATGACAAAATTTGTCCTTTGATTTCTGAGAGCTAATTGAACGTGTGGAGGTAGTGCAGGCAGCTTCAGTTCTTTTCTGAGTTTTTCATATGCTGTAGATCACTTCTTCCCTTAACCTTCCCATTTTTCGGTATTATTTGATATATCAACTTGAGACAAAATTCACTCCACTTACATCCCACTTGAGAGATCTAAATACAGTATAAGCGAGATGCAGGTGGGAAGCTTTTTTTTACCAATGGAGCTCCTGATTTTTACATCATGAAGGAAGGTGTCTGCAAAACGAAATAGCTATGAGAGACAATGTTTTCTGTTTGCGTGACTCTGCACTGGAAGTATCCGTTCAATAATCAGATGCTGCTGTTACGAGTGTTCCCTCTGTTACCACCTTTTTTTTTCTTTTCTTTTCTTTTTTTCACTTTCCCTGTGATTTGAGTTTTCACTGAGGCTATTGAGATCATAATTCTGCAGAGCATTTGTTCCTTTGCTATGTAACAGATACGCTCCAGTAGCAAAATGATGAGCCTAGCTGCTTTCTAATCATGAATTTATCCTGCATGTATTTCTGCTATTGTAAAAAAGGAGTTACTTATTTGTGACAGCATTCTTAACTGTTTAGGGCAACACTGCTAAACTGAAGTGTTAACGATAACACACATCGTTTAACTGCTCGCTTGTTCACATGAGAGGTTAGCAGCTCCAGGCTTAATTTTCAGTTGACACTCGTAAGTGAATGGTACATGAACGAAGGCTTATGATCCAGCAAAGCTTACTCATGTGCGGTCACGTGTAAAGGGAATTAGTTTCTGCCTATGGAAGCAAGAGCTAAGCAAGAAGAGACTGGAGAGCCTAGAGCGAAATACAGAGATGTCTGGGCCAGCAGACTTGCATAAACACTGCTGGGAGACTCCATGAATATCTCGTATGACATTTACTGTATTGTCTGAAAACCATTACAGTTATGGCATATTCTTTCCATTCTATTCTATTTACCATCCCTGGTGGGCAGCAAAATTATAATTAACTCTTCTTGTACAGTCCTCACTGAAATTTTGACTACAGATGTATTTCTCCTGATAGGGTTAATGAAAATCCATTTGCGTGTTTATGAATATGTCTTTGGTGCCGATTAGATAAACTGTGCAACTTAATCTAGTAAATAAAATCTAGTACGAAATGATTACCTGTACAAGGCCAAAAATAGGTTTCATTATTTTAGTCCTTAAAAAAAAAGAAAAAATAATTATTTTTTTTCACATTTTTACATGCATCGTATATTCTCATACAGCTAATTGATTTTACCTGCACTTTACCTAGCTGCAGTAACTCTTAAGCGGTGGATAATGCCATTTTTTTTTCTTATTAAAGTTAATAAAAGTGTAGTTCTTCATATTTTAGTTCTCCATTACTAATCTGAAGAGTTGCCTTTAAGGTCACTGAACTAATTTCTGCTTTGAGTACACTTGAAGGTCTGTACTATGGGGAGAAATTTCAGCTGAAGCAAAATTTACTTGTCTGCCATGTACTATCACATCTTGCTTTTTTTATATGGATCAGCAAATAAGAATCAGATATCTGTCCTGCAAGCCCCAAAAGATACCATTCACTGTTTTAAAACCTTAGCTAAGAAGCTGCGCTCTATAGTAATGCATCATCTGCTGTCATGGTTTTTCAATAATTCCCTAGGAAAATGGTCAGTAAGAATCAGTCTCCGGTTACAGCTTCATGAACTGAAGAAATGTCTAGGATCTTAGGCATTCTTTGATGAAGATTATTATTTCTAGTTAGTGATTTACATGTAGGTCCTAAAGAATTTGATACGAATTAACTGTTTGTGTATTATTGAAACTACTCTACCATGTTCATAATTTAGGATTTTCTTCCTTCTGTAGCCAGAATAGTTTGGGAACAGTAAGCAATGCTGAAGCACGACGGCCACCTGGTTTTAAAAGTACAAGTGATGGAGGGACTTACACAGAAAATTCTCTAGCAACCGTAGACCTAACAAGTTTTAAGGACAACTTGATGCAGATCATTCAAGCAAACAAAGAAAGATGGAAGGAATTAGCAATACAAGGTATGATATACTAAGGAGGACTGTTTTTGTAGGTGCCTTAACCTTCTTTAAGCTCTCCCCTTAGAAATATATAGTTATCTCATATTCCTATATTTTATTTCATAATGTTTGTTTAGGTGGTCTTATTTTGCTGTCCCAGGAGGTATAAGGAGATGTGGGTGGGCAGGGAATGAGAGTAAATCTTACAGCCTGTAAAACAGAGCTCTGTGGTGCTCAATTTATCTTTAGAGGGCTGGTTTAGAAACGTGCATTCTTGCAAATTTAATCATAACTGATACTGACATCTACTTTAAAGGCCAAAATTAACAATTCAAAGTATTACATGTTGCCACATTTCTTAAAAAATGTAAAAGTTATATTTTGCTATTAAAAATGCTATTTGTTCCCCACTGTATGGACTAAAATTAAATGGTGCAGCCTTCTTGGGACCATGCTGCAGGCAATTATTTAAATGACCCGGTGGATCTAATGATATGGGCAATCACAGCATGTACTAGACCCAAGCGAGGCAAAAATTGACTGTTCAGTTGCCAGCTTATAGTTCAAGCCAAACCTGCATCAAGCATCTTATTTCATGAGCTGTACCTGAAAATTGTCTAAGTTACTGTTATCACTGTGAAATAATTTGTGATAATTGTTGTGTGAGCCTTGATCCAGGTTAAATAACTGCCATTTGGGAACAGTGTGTCCACACCGGCTGCCTTGTTCCTGAGTAAGCACCTGGCATGATTTAGGATAGTGCTTTGCTGCTTGGACATGATCTGATCCTGGCTGCACAGACTGGGACTCTGGAACCCAGCGCCAGGCCTGTCTTTCATCCCATCATTCAAAGCAGTGTCTTTTTTCAAAGAAGTGTCAGACAACGTGAAAGAAACAATGCTGACCAGTGCTAAAATCTCATTTAGTGCTAAAATGAGAATAAGTAGTCTTATTAAGAGAATACTAAGTAAGAAAAAGCTTCTGTGCATATATTGCGACAGTGACTTCAGAGCTATGCAGAAGGGGCAGCTGAGGAGAAGGTTTGAATCATATTATTCCTTCTGGATGAGCAGCTTCACATGGTCACTTACTTCTTTTGGTATTGTCCAACTAACACTAACTGGTCAAAAAGACAGGGCTGCTAATTTAGGATGATCAGTAGTAATTAATAGCAGAAGATCAGAGTGCCAGAGAGCACTTAGCTACAACCTGCAGAATTCAATCAGCCCTGGGCTGTCTTCATAAGAGGTCTCTCAACAAGGAAGACTGGAGACTTAAGTTATCTGGAAGTTTGCCACTTCCAGTTGTAGCTATTACTAATTAACCAGTTTGGTTTTGGGTGATCAGATTTCAGGTATATTATTATGGAAATATACAATGCTACCAGGAAGGTAATTTCCCATGGATTCTAGTACTTTGTAGCACTCCAGAAATTACTAATAGATTTAGCCTAGTAAAATTTCTCTATTGAGAGCCATTGAAAAGACTAAACTTCTAGCGATAGATTTAAGAGTTCTTCAGGGTAAATGATTGTTTCTCTATACAGTCAATATTAACGTGAGGTTTAACAAGATCCAGGAAACTCTGGGCACGTTTTCTACAGTGAGAAACAGAGGGATTAATGTTCAGGACCTCTAGGGACCTTGTTAAGATTGCAGTTGTCCAGATTCTAGGATGCCCTTCTTTTCCTCCATCAACTTGACTTATGAAGTATGTCTGAATTATTTTCTGAACAGAGTTGTAGAATTATGGTAGCATGTCCACCAGAAAAACTGAAGGGTAAATGGAAATGCCTGGTGTTAAGGCTGGAGCTTGATGAACAATATCTGCTTTGTGTGCTTGTTGTTGGCTCTGTTTTGTAAAAACTCTGTGAGAGCTAGGAAGAGGTGTTTGGAAAAATCCTCCCATGAAGAGGCCACTTGCAGCAACAGCTGCAATTGAGCAGGACGTAGCGTGATGTTCAGGGCATGCAATTAGAAACTACAGGAGTCTTGTGAATAGTGCACATACTTCTGAGTAAAGATTTCTGTTTTTGTTAATACATAGATATTAATTTTTTTTGTAAAAGCTCAGGGGGATTTTATAGGTTTTGAGAAAGCTATTTTCCATTCATTTTTCATAAGCAATTAATACTTTTTAATTTCATACGTGGCCCCCTAAGAGATGCTGGAAAAGGACTTTACACTAAGTGAATGTAGCCCTCCACAGGATGCAATCTGAGATAGCGCATGCATTCTTTGCCACATGATAGGAGCAGGAATCTCCCCCCTCAGTCCAGAATGGCAGTATATCTGCTCTGAAGCTGCACATTGCAAAGAGTGAGAATCCTTAACCAGCCTGTGCAAAATTAACATCTAGTAAAGAATAAAGACTTTGAAATACATCCTGTTTCCACTCTAAGTTCCTTTCAGATTGCACTCAGGTTTGACTAAGTTTGACTTTAACTCTAAGTGAATAACCTAAGACTTTGTACCTGAGATAATTTGTCCCATCCTATTGGGAGCATAGGTTTTTGTTTTTTTTTTGGTGTATCATTTATGACCTGTTTGGATCTCACATTACTGTTTCTGATTCAATTGTTTGCTGAAAAGTTTGTAGGTTGTTCTGGACATGTGTATGAAATAGACTTAATTCGTATGTTAGTATGTTCATATACTGAGGGAAAAAGAACGTGGAGGTAAAGGTGAGCAGAGCGTTGATATTGCTATCGATCATTATTCCTAGCTAGATAATTTATTGCAAACCACAAAGAGCTGAAAGCACTTAGAAGGTCACATATATTATGACCATATACCATAGCAGTAAGCAGGCTGGCTGTTAATGTAGATCTCTGAGTGCGCTTTCTGAGCTAATTATGGCAAATAGTACTTCTGCTTTTTAAAAAAATCTGCATTCTCTTGTCTGTAGGCTCTGTGCACACTAGACATTGTTCTCAGACTGCCAGATCAGTTCACAGACTTAGGAGTAATTGTCTCTATATAGTATAGTAATGTAGCTGCACAAGTGCAATTGTCAAAAGAAAACTAACAACAATCCTTATAATTTTCTGAGTAGGACTCAAAGTTGTTCCAGTTTATCACCTGGTCAGGAGAACGCAGTGTGTTTAGCGGTCCCTGGGAAGCAGCGCCGCTGGAGGGAGGTGGGGTTGGAGTAGGCCGTCTAATTCACACGCCCAGCCAAACCAGAGCAGGAAACCAGGACACACTCAGTGTTGTTGACATGAGGAGCTTTTCTGGAGATCTAGAAGTATCCCTGTGTGAAAAGATAGTTACTGTTGAGACTGTTGATTCAGAGCAAATAGCTTGTGCAAGGAACAAAGTGCTTTATCTTGGAAAGACCTGTGCTAGTAAGGAAAGTACCTAGGCAGTTGTTTGGGAGCTTCCTTAACAGAAGGCTCGCTAAATAAGATGCCTCCATTTTGCTGAAAAGGCCAAGTCTTGTATAATTGATGCACAGAAGCTCAGTGCTCTGTAGCCTAAGGGTCTGCAACCTTTCACCACTGGAGAATTAGTGGAAGGTTTCTAAGGCCTTTCAGGGAATGCTGTTAACAAGGAATTACCATAATGATCAAACATCTGGGATTCTAATTTGAAAGCCTTGATGTTTAATTAATATTCCAAACCCCTAATCACCAGCTAATCTGTCTTTGTTCAGTTCAACACAGTGATAAAGAGACCATTCCACCCTGTGCTTTTTTCAACATAGCAGTGGTGGCAGCTGACATTTGCTGTGGTGATAGTTGTAGCAAATTGACAGTAAAGATGCTAAGATGAGTTTTAGAGGTTGTTTCATTAGAGAAAATGATTGCTAAATTGATTTTAAGGTCTGGGAGATAGTGACCTACTGAGAAAGCTGTAACACAAGTCATTGGGAAAGATTTAAGTATTGTGTAAGACCCTTCATATGATGCGGTTCTACTCAGAACACAGGGAAATTGCAACACAATGATTTATACTAAAAAAAGGGGAATGCAGGATACAGACCAAGGGGCTAGTGGCCAACTGAACGGGCTCTTTACTGAAGTATGCTAACACTGTTCATCTTCAAGGTAATAACACCAACGCTATTACTCTTTGTTTCAATCTTATGCTTAAGCATAATCATGCTTGACAAATTCACTGTTATGGGACCCGAAAAAAAAGCTGCATTATTTGTGTGGAAAATCTCCTCCTCAACATCTTTTGCTGGTGCACTGGGCTACACTGCTCAAACCTCTATTTCTGGGATGACTGACTGCATCAGGAGAGGTGAGGAGAAAGTGTGTGAGGCTGAACGAGGCTCTCACGTTATCCTGTGCTTAATTTTGATAATAAAAATATGAAAAATAAACTATTGAATTGCAGGGCTCAGCTTTCTTTTGATTGGCTGCAGCACTGAATAACAAACGTCTCTTCTGAAAGACCTCTGCCTGCAGGCCCCCCTCAGGCACTTTCAATCCTGTATACTTCCAGTCACAATAACCACAGGGTTCGATTCCGTTTTGTCTGAAAAATTAGCTCTGCGGACTCGCTAATCAGAAGAGAGTAACAGTGGCAAAAATGCAAAAATCTCAGCGTGATAATCTGATACAAAGTTAATGTGATTTGGAAGCCATTAGGAAGGGTGGGCAATGGGAGGAAGTGTGTGCCTGTCAGAACAGCTGACGGGCGGTTTGGTACATGACATCTATGCTAATAGACCGCTTTAGTCTGTTAGAGAGAAATACATATACATGGCTAACGAAGGAGTCCCATCTAGGACCAGTGACAGTGATTTTAATTGCAGCGCTAAAACATTTAGGTCGCAAGCCGTTACTGAGCGAATCTAGAAAAGCAGGAAGAACAATGCCAAGAACAAAAGTTTTCACTGTGATCTGAGGAAACAGAATGAAGAGAAACGGTTGAGCTAAGAGTAGCAAGAAGCATTTTGTATTGGCACCGTCCAGTAAATTGCAGACTAAGGAACTGATAATGTAACCTGACGGCAGGAACAAATCCTTTGGAGCGTGTGATGGAGAACTAGTCTGCCACCACAGGTGACAA